TGCTGGCCTGGAGCATCTTCCGGCAAGTCCTCTCGGCCACGGAGCTGGTCTTCAAGAAACGCTACAAGTACAGCAAACTCTTCTCCATGCTTACCTCCTTCTCCAAAGCCAGCCGCTACGCCATCCCGCACTTCACGCTCAAGAACCCTCTCAACATCAAGATGTGGTTGGCCCTCCGCGGGGGCCGGGCCTGGCTCCGCCGCTTCGAGGCCCAACGCGTGGCCGACACGGTCGTCTCCTCCACCTTCCGGACCGTCGCCTTCTTCCTGGCCGTCCTGTGTGTGGAGGTCTTCCTCTGCAAGGACGTGCGTCCCTTTCTCACGGAGTTGTGGCACTGGGAGCTGGTAATATGGGGCGGCATCTCTTCCATCTTCCTCCTCCGCTTTTTCTCCTTGGGGACGCGGACGAACGAGAAGTTCGGCGACACCACCATCCTCCTGACCGAGCAACTGAACGTCCAACTCCGCATTTTTGAGAACTGCAGCCGAAGCAACGATCGTGCAAAGCTCGGGAAGCTTCAGATATCATCCAACGTCCTGAAGCTGGCGGTGAAACTCTTGCGGGAACTGGACTCGCCCAATCGCGTCAGCGGGCTAAGCATGTCTCCTACCCTCGTGCGAGTCACGCGCGTTATCCTTCTTTCCGCCTTGAGTGCCTTGGTCAGCGACGTCTTCGGCTTCAAGCTAAAGGTGAACCAATTGTTGAAGTGAGAGGCACGTTGGAAGGTCGGGTCCACGAGGGACTCTACCTTCGAACGTGCATTCGGACGGGGCGCAACCTTTTCCAGGGCCCGTCCTGACTGCGGGCGTGCAGGTCAGTCGGGAAAAAGCAATATCTTGGGGGGAAATGAGCCCGGTAGAGTAAGTGTAAAATAACAACGAGCTTTTCTGATCCGATCAAAGGGACCGGGTCACCTGATACAAGCAATTCCGGGTGCCTCATGGCCCTTGCATTACTTTGGTATTCTTTGTGCTTTGATCATGCCTGCCCTGCCAGCGTATCCTCCTCCCGCCCCTCCTTTTCCCCAGATTGTGTCCCTGTCCGAGGCTTCGCCTTGGCTGGCAGGTCCGCTTCCCCCTCTTTCCCCTCCTCCGCGACCGCCCCGTCCCTCTCCCGATGTCTCTTGTCCTGGCGTTTCCGACGAGCCCTCTCCGCGTGCTCTTCCCTGCGTTGCCGGGAGTTCCAGTCACACCGCACGGTCAAGTTCTCCTTGGTCATACCGCCCAGGAAATCCTCGTCTCCCTCGTCCACGGTCAAAGAGGCCTTCAAGCCCATTTTTAACCCAAAGAGTCTCACACTGACCAGCACCCCTGTCCCTTCCTCAGCCGCCTCCAGCCTCCACGCCCCCCCCTCCCCGTCTTTGGTCACCCTGTACGCCAAGAGGTATTCCGGCGCGCCCACAGTCACATACAGCACTCTCCTGACTTCCCCTTCCGCTTCTTCCGGGTTATCCATAAATGCGGCGCCCACAGGTACAGACGGCAAGTCCAGTGTCTGGATCAAGCTCAGAGCGGGCAGGGCGTACACCAAAAGCTTGCTCTGGCCTAGCAACGTGACGGCAGCTAGGGCGCTGTCTAAAGTCACAGCCACCGCACAGGGGACGATAGTACTTGGGCTCTTGCTCGAGTTGCGTCCTCTTTCCCCGTTCTCCGGCCCAAGCTGCTCGCCCTCCGCGACGAGCTCCCCCTCGAGGGGGGGGAGACTTTCCCTTACAACCTCGCAGCCTGTGTGCGCGTCCCACAAGGCAAGGGTTTGGTCCCCGCTGCCTGTCAACACCTTCGCGCCATTTTCTACAAAGTTGACCGAGCTGACGAATCTCTCATGGCCCAGTAGGTACGTCTCGATGACGACGGTGCAGGGGAAATGAGAGATGCGGACTTTCTCGTCCCGATCCCCGGTAGCAAGGCGTGCCCCGTCAGGGGACAGGTCCAAGCAGGTGCCCACAGACGCTGTATGGCCAAGCAGGAATGCCGAGGTCTTAGGTAGCATTTCGGCTGTGGCCCGGTACATCCGAACGTCCCCGACTTTGTCGTTGACGAGCACGACATCCTCTTGGTGCCCCGTCCCCGGGCCGAGATCTTGGTCGCCAGATGGCGAATCAAGTCTAGCAAATAGGAGCGCAAAGGCTTTTTTGGGAAGCAAACGGTGGGAGAGCAGGACAGGGCTGGCGCTATCGCTTGTGTCCCACAGCGCCAGTACTTTGTGCCTGTACAGTGCTGCCGCTCGCCTCCCATTCCCCGTCAAAGCCAGAGCCTCCACTTGCCCCAAGCCATCAGCATTGGACTCGGTGCCGTCCACGGAAGCCGCTGAAAGATCAGGGACGGGAAGAGCCACGACATTTCCCGGTTGCTTGGTGTCAATCAAAAACACATCTTCCCCGGCGTATGCACATAAAAGTATCCCTGCGCCGCCACTACACTTTGCGGCCACCAAAAGCTTGTCGCGCATGGACCTGGGGAAATGTTACCACGCGACTGAGTTGTCAAAAAGCGCATTCGTATATATTTTTGTGAGTTCAAATCGCGCGCCACACATAAAGAAGTGTGCCGTGCAACAGCGGCCCCCCTGCATACACGAGCCTATGGTTGCTACTTGTAAGCGATGAGCGCGCTAAGGCGACAGCACGCGTACGCTTTCTCCACGGAAATGTGAACTCTTTGCCGCCAGGCCGTCCCGTCCCATGCTCCCACGAAGAATTGGCCCCCGTCACGCGGATTCGAACGTGAAAAATGATAATGAAACGTGTGGTGGGTATCGAGAGGGGGCTAGTTCATTTCTTCCTGTGGTTTTCCCCTCTCGCTTATGTCGCCCACAAGGCAATTTCGACCCCGTTCTTTCCTGCTGAGACACAATGTGCGACCAGCATTTTTATGCCATACCTCGAGATTAACATCCAGCAATCCTTTTCCCCATGAAATACAGCACAAATGTACCACTGGTGCTAAGGAGGCTTCTTGTCGTTTGCTTTGACTGTTCTCCGTCCAGCCGCACCCGTCTTTTCGTTCTTCACCACTCCCGCGCCTCACTTTGCCCGCCGGTCCCTGCGTGAAAAATATGCCTTTTCATGGCACAGAAGATCCTCTTAGCCCTTCCCGTGGCTTAGCCCACACTCCACCTCGCAATAAGAGGACTCCAAGGTGCGCCATGGGCAATGAGTCTCAACCAGGCGATAATACTACGCCGATGCTTGGCATGACGGCACAGATGAAGAACGGCCAGCACGAAAGCCCGTCCCAAAGCACACCACGTTCATTCCTGCGCAAAGGGTCGCGAAGGGAGCCCTCTGCAATGCATCGACTCAAGTCTGGCATTTCTCCGTCTCCATCCTCTTCCTCGAAGCCGATTCCTGTAACCCCCAGTAGCACCCGGAAGAGCAAACCTGCCCGCAAGCGCTCGGAGCGGTCCCCCTTGGCGCTCGTCTCACAGGCACGGACGAGGGGCACGACCACCGAAGCCGTGAGGGCGACGGACTCGAAACAGGGCACTGCCATGGAGGAACCGTTGCCCGGGCGGTCCTCATATCCTGTCCCCAGCCCCACCGAGGGCTACTTGGGAGAAGGTGGAGGTGTGGGGGAGGAGACGTCTTGGAGGGAAGAAAGGGAAAGCAAGTCCACGAGCCAAGAGAAAGTAGAGGTGCGCGAGCACAGCTTCGACGGAAATGCGACGAAGAGCTTCGATCCGTACTGGCCGCCCTCGGCCGCCGGGACCGCGGAAGCCCCGGACGTGATGGATGGAAGGGAGTGGAGGATGCGCCTTTTCCACGCGGACAGCGAAGAGGAGGACCGAGAGGGGGGAGGCTGGGACCAGGAGGGCGGGCGGTGTGAGGATCAGGCTTCGTTCCTGTGCTCTGGCAGCGAAATGGCAGCGTGGCAGGCGCGGCACAGGGAGGAGATGACGGAGTTCGAGAGCCTGGAGCGGGCCTTGGCAGGGTTTCCCGCCATTTCTCTCCAGGACGGGCCCGAGCCATGGGCTGCCAACGGGGTGCAAGGAATGGGATGGACGGCGGCGGTAGACCAGGAGGGACGTCCAGCGATAGTGGGGGAGGAGGCGGTGGAGGAGGAGGAGGAGGAGGAGGAGGAGGAGGAGGACGACGACGACGAAGAGGACGAGGAGGACGAAATGGAACCAGGTCACGTCGGGGAGAACTTGACTGCTGACAGAGGAAGAGAAGATGGAAAGCAGCGCGGGAAGTTCCAGGAAAACCGCACCAAAAGCCACTCGAACCAACGCTTCTGCGAGGGAAATGTCGGTCTTCCCCCCCCACATCCTTCGTTCCCTTCCTCCCTCGACACCTGCTTGAGCTGTGGCAGCCGGCGTGGGTCGTTGCTTTTAAAAGCGCTGGAAAACAAGCAGGAGGAGATCGAGCGGGAGCTGGCACGGGCAGAGAAGGAGACCAAGGCGGCCGAAAAACAGCGACGCCGGTCCGAGGCCATGCTGGCCGAGGCCCGGAGCCGGAAGGAGCAAGTGGAGGCATGGGCCGCCAGGGAGCGGGCGGCAGTTGAGAAATGGCGCGAAGACCAACGGGAGTTGGTAGGCAAGGAGAAGAAAGCTTTCCTCCGGGAGCAGGCGGCGGCAACGCGCTGTTTGGAAGTGCAACGCGCGTTGCCGACGCGGGAGGAACGGGTCGAGCGGGAGGCCCTGCTCGCCACCATCGAGAAGATGAAGCTGGACGCCGAAGGGCAAAGGAAGAGATGGGCCGCCAACAGCAAGCGGCAGGCGGCTCTGATCCAGGAGCAACAAGCCCGTCTGGAGGAGCTTCAAGGCCAAGTGGAATCGGCGAAGACAGGGACGGCGAGCCCCGGGCTTCGGTCAGGGATTGGGCCCAGAGGCCAGAACGCGTCGTCCATGTCCGCCGCAAGGCAGCCGAGGAACTTGCCCCTGCCGGCCTCCTCCCTTTCCACCGGTCTCCGGGAGAGCAGGCCTTGCGCCCGTGTGGGCGCAAGGCCTCTGTCCCATCCTACGTCCGCTTCCCCCCTCAGGCTTGAGAAAAAAGCACTCGGGGCTGGCCATTCTATGGGAGTCCCACCATGCTCTTTTTTGTCTCGGCAGGGTGACGGAAAGGCAGGAGCGGAGGAAGGGACCAATGCCGTCCAAGAGGGTAGCTCCCCCGGGTATCCCACCTCTCCAAGGCCGTACGGCGTTCGCGAGTATACGGTGACACCCCCTTCTTCCGCCCAAAGCATCATCGGATGCACATCCGACTTGTCATGGGGCGGAGCAAGGACCTCACCATCGGCAGCCATCATCAGCGAGAGGCCGCCTCCTTTCGCCCCCCCTTATCATTACTTGCACCAAGGCCAGGAGCTCTTTCGACGACCGCTACCTGTAGCCAAGCAGGACTCTCAACCTGCTTCTGGGGCAGAGGACTCTTCATCCTCTGTCCTTACGTCCGAAAAGAAAGCAAAACAACCCGCCGCGTCAGGTAAAGGGGGAGGAGGAAAAACCATCCGCAAGCTTCCAGACGGCCGGGAGGAGTGGCACTACTCCAACGGCACGGTCAAGGAGGTGCACCCGAACGGAAAGAGCATCGTACACTTTATGAACGGAGACATCAAGACTGTCGAGGCGGGAACAGGGGACGTAGTCTACTGGTACGCTGCCAATCAGACAAAGCATATCACAGTTGCTGCCTCGGGGTTGGAGATATTTGAGTTCCCTTCCGGTCAGGTGGAGCGGCACTACCCGAATGGAGTGCGTGAGATCCAGCCACCTGGTATGGGGGTCATCAATGTGTAAGAGCGCGTGCCTTCCTGTGAGCAGACAGTGGCAGGGCGGCACGTATCTGAAATGAGAGCCAAACATGCGTTACTCAAGAGACGAATGGAAAGGACTTGAAGACGGAAAGCAACATCAGAAGACGTATGTAAGAACAAAATAACGAAAAAAGACTCTTATTGAACATCTTTATTTAATATGTCATCATAGAAACCATCAAAATCTCGTGTGATTCCACCCCTCGTTGTGGGTGGAGGAGAACATTCAGTGCCGAATAGTCTCAACCCAATTCCAGCTTACGAACAGCTCATTGCGGACCCTCTCAAAGCCTCATGCCTTTCTTTGAAGACTCTGGTGCCTCATCATGCGGATAAATCTGCTTTTTAGAAACCACGCATGTCTTTCCTGGCCTCACCTCTTATTCGCACGGATTTGAAACTGTCTCGGAGGACTTTGAAATCTGAATGCGGGCGAAGAAGGAGGACTATTACAGTGAAAAACCCAGGGGCGAGCAGAATAGGCGAAGGGGGGGTACTGTGAAACAGATGGCGCCAGGAATAGGAGCGCGTGAAAATTTGTAAATGAGGGCACGTCTTTTGTCTCGGCCTTCCTCTCATTGTCTCACTCTCGGTTTGTCTGCACCTATATCATAATGTAAGTACATGTATGTGACCAAGGCTAAATCCAAAGGAATGTCAACAATTGCGGAAAGGCAGTAGTTGAGAGCGGACGGATGCCAAAGGGGAAGGACCGGTATAGGCGAAAAAAAAGAAGGGTTTGGATTCATATCCGATGGTGTCATAAAAACAGTCCACAAGGAGGAAACAATGCAAAGGAAACACGGGAAAGGAATTGAGCAAGCATGAGTTTCTTGTACTTCTTGGTACGGCTATGTCCCCGTATCCATGCTCCGAGTCTTCTTGTCCTTCGGTGTCTGTCATTTTCTCTCTTTCAACCAACCTAGATCAGCAAGCTGTGTATGGGTGGAGCCTTATCTATGCAGTCTACGAACATAATTAGCAAAAAGCGTGGAAGTTGATGCACCGATGTGTCATTTCCTTTGAAGGTCAAGTTGATGTCTTCAGGGCCATTTGTCGACCAGAACCATACCCGGACATTCCTGGCCACGGCCCAGATCGATACTTCTTTCGTTTTGTCGATGTTTTTGTATCAAACTTCTCCCAAAAAAGAGCTATCCAAGTTTTATTCAAGGCTTGGAAACCCTATTCCTCCGGATTTTATCACCGCTGGCACGATTGGATGAACCAGCTGTTGTGACATCCCCCTCCGTGTTCTAACAGCGTGTGCTATTCTTGAGCGATTCGCATATGACCTCATAAAGTATACAAATGTTTACCTGTGCCTCTGACGAACAACAGAAATGGGCAAACGACAACGAGGTCAAGGGCCTCGTCGACCGGAAAGCGGCGTGGTCAAGCAGGAATACGTCAATGCGTCCGGGTAAGAGTGAAAACTAGAAGCAAATAACAACGGAAAGGAAATATGGACCTGAAGGCTTCTGCTGTTGTCGCATATCATACCTTGATCTTCACGTCAAAATCAACACAATATTATTATAGGCTTGTTGCATATCAATCGGATTCCGAGGCAGATGATGAGGATGTAGCCCCCGCGGAGGCAGTCGGAAGTATTGCGAGGCACGTGGTTCCTCGAGGGCATCTTATCAAAAACGGCCCTGAAGTACAGAACACGGGACAGGCGGCCAAGGACGAGGAATATGCTGATCCTTTGAAAGCAGCTGCAGACGTGGAAGATCTGTTTAAGAGTCTTGAGGAAGAATTTTTGCAAGGTGCATCCCCACAGAGAGAAGTCGTGAAAGCAGCAGCAACGGCGTCGATTGGGGCAAGACAAACAGATAAAAAGTATCTTCCAGCGCATGCTTTACGACCAAAAATCGCCCATACGCCTCTTGTTATGTTCAGTGAAGCAGAGCTCAGGCGCATAAGTGGGAAAGACTCGTCCCTGCGAGATCTTGTGGTCGAGTGTCTTGGGAAGATGAATGCCATGTTAGCCAAATACCTAAACGCAACGAAATCCGATCGCTCCGAGGCAGATAAGTTATCAGGAGATGGGAAATCGGGATTTGTCGGGGTGGAAAATTGGGAAGTTGAGTTTATCAAGCTGTCGGCCCGTGTGGAGGATTGGAGGGCAGGCTTGCTGCCGTCGTCCTCCCTTGTGCGTCGCGTCAGGGAGTTGGGAGCGACCGTTGCGGCACAAGTGCTGGCGGAGGAGACGCTATGTCATGGGCTAAAAGAAGCTGTGAAGAAGAAGGAGAAGGAGGCGGAGGCGTCCGGGGCTTCAATGACGGAAGTTGCTGGGGTGACTCACACGAGCACCATAGGCCCCGTGGCCGCCCCAACCACGCCCGTGTGGAGCACTGCCTACGATCCCACGTACCAAAGTTACTACTGGCACAACGCAGTCACGGGTGAGACGCGGTGGGAACGCCCCTCGGGTGCAGGCACGGAGATGGCGGGCGCGTCAAGTGAATCCTTTGCCGCGCCCTCCACCTCCACCACGACTCCTGAGGCCGCTCCCGTCCTTCCCTTCGCCAATGCCCTGCCAGTGCAGACGCAGAACTCTCTGCTCCTGTACGTAGGTGATCCGCCGCTCTTGCAGACAGGTTCGGAGGCCTCTAGCCTCTTCCGAGGCGCGGGTCTTAGGCACGTCCGCGCCCTGGGGCAGGGATATTTCGTCGTCTCCTTCCCTTCCAAGGCCGCCGTGGTGGAGGCTTTGATGCACCAGGCAACGACCGCTGGCACCGTAACCATGGATGTGCAGAGTGCGCAAAGGGGAGAGAAGCGGAGAAGGGAGGAGCAGGAAGCGAGCAAGGATGTGGTCGAGCGCGCGGGGCGGGAGTGGATCCCGGGTGACAAGTCCACGTTTGTCCGCCTGGTCACGGAGGCGGACGAACCGGGCAAGATCGGTGCGATGCCGGTAGTTGCGGTGGGAGGGAAGGGGGAGGCGGGCGATGGGAGAGACGAGGATGGGCCGGGGGGCGAGCGAGAGGGCAACGCTGTAATAATGGGCCAGGGAAACGGAGGCGATTGGCAAGCACCCGTAACTACGTAAAACAAAAGTACAACAAAAACGAATGCAAGATATCTGAAGGCACCGTTTCGATACCACAGGTCACTGGTTCAAAACCACACGTCACTGTGATTCATACCTCTTCCCCCCTTGCTGCTCTGCCCCCTCTCAAATCAAAAGTCCCCCACTGTCTCCATGCCCCTCTGCTGAAAGTATTTGGCCCTCTTTCGCGCCTTTTTGGGGCCGTCCGCCTTGGGTTTGACGAAGGCCTCGATCGACGCTGTCCCCGCGGGCAAGCCCCCGTTTTCTTCCTCCTCCTCCCACTCCACCCCCACGCACTCCTTCTCCATCAACTCCCGGGTTGTCGACCAGCTGAAGCGTACCAAGGATGGGAACCCGAAGACAGGGTTGCTATTCTTCCTTAGCCACTCCGCACAGCGCGCGTCTCCAGGATACCCGGAGCCAAAGTCTGTCGACAAGGCCTGCGGGAAGTCTTCCTCCCAGACCCAGTCCCTGATGGCCCTGTCCCGCGTCACTTTAGCCGCGATGGAGGCGGCGCTCACCGTCTTGTAGAGGCTGTCCGCTTTCTTCGCCACTGTGAAGGCGATCGCGGGGGTGTGGTGCCCAAACAAGCCTTCCAGTTTCCTCTGATAGGTATCAGGGTCGCCCACTGTGTCCACGAACACCTCGGTGACACACACCCCTTCTGCGAGAACCAAGGAGAGCATGTCCGCCGCCGAGTCATGGCTGATCTTGTTCAGGGACGTTGGCTCTCTCATTAGCATCTTGCCCGCCACCTCGGTGGCTGGAATAGAGTGTATGACCCAACCCACTTGCTCATGCGTGCGCAGCATACGCTGGAAAAGCCCATCACGAGTTTTTTCGTCCAAAGCCTTTGAGTCATCGAATCCCATGGCGATCATGGCGTCGTCCTGTCCTCATTTTTATAAAAAAAGTATTCAAGATTAAAGGTGCAGACATAAATCCTTCGCGTCCATCCACATCTCTTCCCCCCCCGTGTCGCACCTCCTCTCTTCACGACACCCTCACCTCCTCTACTTTCCAAAATGCAGCAGCGTAGACCATTGGCCCTAAAACAGGACCTCTACCTGCTTCGTCAATACCCAATTTAACTGGCTGGCCGGTCTTGAGAGCAGGTGGAATGTGCCATAGCTTGTTGATTCCGTGCTTGAAACGATTTTTGGGGAAGCCTTTAGCGTCGTCTTCTGCCTCCTGCTGCTCCGCTCGGGTGAGACATATGGGTTCGTCCGATCTATTTTCTGCATTGAGAGTGCCGTTGTTGGTGCTGGTCGATGGCGTGTCATCAGCAGCCATAGTGATGTGAGGTATAATCCTCTCGCGGGATAAAAATACACCTGTGGTGGTTTTATGTGCCCGCACGATGGTACATTACGAGGTGAGATAAGTATTCGCCATCATCGGGATTGCTGGCAGTGAAAGTTTAACATGCCGTGCCCGACGGCCGAGTACACGCGCGCCGAAGCGGTTTGAAACGCAAGCGAAAAATATGCCTTTTCATAGCCAAGGTTTCGCGCCAGACCTTCGAAGTCGGTCTTCCCTCGGACAGTCCTCGACTTGAAGTCGCCGTAATCCCTTCGAAAGTCCGAAAGGCGTCAGCCGTAATGCTAAGTCAGGCCGCACGGAAGGCCCAAGCCCCCCCTCGCTCATACCACGACGGAGGCTCAAGATACTCACTTCCAGAGGCCCCATGCTCGGAACGCGGACAGGGCCTTCCCCGCGCCCACGGACGACGAGGAAACTATCCTATTGCTCGTGGGAAGGAATGGTGTTTTGTTCAGTCGACCGATGGCTTTTGGCCCGGTGTGGACTGAGAGGAAAGGCTTTGCTTTCTGCGTGGGAAGGACACGAGCCAAACCCTGGTGTCGCCCTTTCATTGAGGACAGGGTCCAAGTGGAAATGCCCTCCTATTCCCCTTCCCGGCCATCTCACGGACGTATCCTATCCCAGCGAACTATTGATGGTTCTGCTATCTCACCCACGCATTGGTGGCGCGCGCATGTGAAGCAGGCATAATCGTGGCCACTTGTCTGACGGAGGGGAGTTGCCCATGGATCCATCGCCCCTGAAGCTGGTGCTGGGTG